ATGCTCTATGCCAGCCTCAGTGGGACTCTCAATCCAAGTATTTCCAGATAGAAATGTGATGTTTCCAACTGGGTACACTCTTTGCTATAGGGCTCCATTGAATGAATCATCAGACCTGGACTAGGGTGCATATGAAACCAATAAAGGTCTCAAAAGCATTGACCTGTTGATCCTTGACTGGCATGTGGTACAGAAATGTTCAAATACTTCTCTGTCTCTCATGCAGCAGGAACTTTAACTCTTCCTTCCCTACAGAAAATACCTAAAACACTAGGAACTCAAGATGAAAGAAAAGGACTCTTGTAAAAGAAAAGAGGAAAAGGAATCTTCTAAAATCTCCTATTGAAGCTATTGACATTTCATAAAATACCAATTAACAATATTAATAAGATAATGAACAGTTTGAAAATATTTCCACAGTCTGTTGGTACACATTTTACACAAATTTCACAAATCAGATCAATATGATGTCCTCAGCACAGAAGGCAGAAAGACCTGAATACCAAAACAATTAAAAGCACAACAGTTAACATATTTTCTTGGTAAGATGCAGACAAAGCAACAGCAAGGCTTACATGGTTCATAATTCTAGAGAAAAAGACAAAGTCCACACAGAGAGAAACTTCTATCTCTGTGGCTCTTTTTGCAGAAGCTGCAGAAAGTTTTTAAACAAAACCTCAGACATGTAGAGTTCTCAGTCCATAGCACAAAACACACTTAGAAATCATATTCAGCACCTCTTCAGCTAACGGCAGTACAGCAAAAGCATAACAGGACAAGACAGTTGAAATTTAAGAATCACAGAATATGCCAAGTTGGAACAGACCCACAGGTACCACTGCATTCAACTCTTAGCCCTATATAGGACATCCCAAGAGTCACACCAGGCGCCTGAGGGTATTGTCCAAAATGCTTCTTGAAATCTATCTGGATTGGTGCTTGGACCACTTCCCTCCTGTGGGCCTGCTCTAGTGCCCAAAAATTGTCTGGGTGAAGAACCTCTTCCTAATATCCAACTCAAACCTCTCCTGACACAACTTCAGGCCATTCCCTTGGGTCATGTCACCAGTCACAGAGATCAGCACCTGCCCTTCCTCTTCCCCTCCCAAGGAACTTGCAGGCTGCAATGAGGTCTCCCCTCAGTTTCCTCAGACCAAGTGACCTCAGCTATTCCTCATCAGGCTTCCCCTCCAGAACCTTCAACATCCTCATGGCCCTCCCATGGATATGTTCTCTAGGAGTTTACTGTCTTATACTGTGGCACCCAGAACAGCCCCCAGCACTCAGTGCAGAGCACAGCAGGACAATCCCCTCCCTTGCCTGGCTGCTGATGCTGTCCCTGATGCCCCCAGGACAAGCTTGGCCCTCCTGGCTGCCAGGGCACTGCTGGCTCATGTTCAACTTGCCATGGACCAGAACCCCAGGGCCCTTTCCATGGCACTGCTCTCCAGCCTCTCATTGCCCAGTCTGTCTGTACATCCAGGGCTGCTCCATCCCAGGGGCAGAATCTGGCACCAGCCCTTGTTGAATTTCACATGGTTGATGATTGCCCATCTCTAATCTGTCGGGGTCTCTCTGCAGGGTCTCCCTCCCTCTGAGGGAATCAACAACCCCTCCCAGATTTGTATCACCTGGGAACATGCTTAGTGTCCCTTCCAGTCCTGAGTCAAGCCGTGTCTGAAGCTGTTGAAGAGCACAGGGCTGAGGATGGAGCCCTGGGGAACCCCAATAGTGACAGGTCACCAGAGTGATGTCACCTCATTCCCTGTAACCCTTTGTGCCCAACCCATGAGCCAGTTCTCACCCATCCCATAATATGTTTGTCCAGCTGTGAGCTGGACATTTTTTCCAGGATACAGTGAGAGACAGCAATGAAAGCTTTACTGAAATACAAAAATATCACATCAGTTGGCTTCCCTTGATCAAATGTGTGGATTATCTTGCCATAAATGAAGACTCAATAAGCAGGACTTTATTCTTATGAAGCCGTGCTGGGTGTCACCAAGGACAGCATTTTCTTTCGGTGTTTTCCAACACCTTCCAGAGTAATCTTTTCCATGACTTTACTGGGCACTGAAGTGAGACTGGCAGGCCTGTGGAAGGGGTCCTCCTTCCTGCCTTTCTTGAGAACTGGGACAACATTTGCCAGCTTCCAGCCAGCTGGGACCTCAGGATTTCCAAGACTGCTCAAAAATCACTGAGAGGAGTTTTGCAATGACATTGCCCAGCTCTTTGAGGATTCTTGGTTGAATCTTATCAGGCCCCATAGATTTGCAGGGATCCAGTTTGAGCTGGGAAGGTCAACCAGGAGTTGATCATTCTCACACTCATGGTCCTCCAGCTCTGTGAGCAAACACAGTCATGTTTTGGTACAACTGCCTCTGCTCTTCCATCCTTCTCAGGTCCAAGGGAATATGATTAGGTTTTATCCAAAGCAAACAATATATTTTCATTATGCAGCAAAAAAAAAGAGCATTAGTCCTAATTTCAGGGTTCATAATTTTAAAGGCATGGCCATCTAATCGATGTATCAGTCAGGCTGCTGCATCTGCCATTTGTAAGGGCACTTTGGTCTCATTTTACTGCTCAATGAGGTTGTACACTAGAAAATAAAACCCTTGAAGAAAGACATATCAACTCTATTTTTCGGATATTTCTAATCATAAACACAGTTTCATAGCTTTTGACTAGACAAACAGATATTTGTATAATCTATAGGAACAATATTATTTCTCAAAACTGGCAACAACCATCCCAGACAGTAAATTTAAAATAAAGCCTTTATCCTGCTAGAACACCAAACAATTCATATTTTCATCTGAAGTTTACAGATTGGAATTGAAAAGCTGTACCTTTTTAAAAGTACCCCTTAAGAGTAATAAACCAGCAATATATGGAGTGCAAAATATGAATCTCAGCCTTCCTCTAATTTGCTGTCATGTAACAACAACAACAAACACTCAACCCACAAAACTCAGCTCCTGCCATGACCATGGACATTCACGAGACCAATCTCTCAAGCCCCTGCCATATTGCTATGACTAGAATGTACCATGGATGATACACAATGCTAGCTCAGAGGTGCTGGAGCCTTACTAGCTGCATGCAGGAGAGCTGAACATTTCTCCAATCTGCTCCAGGACAGCATTCTAGCCTGAAACCAACTCCACATACTTTATGCTCATGCACTGCTCTAGTTATTTACACAAACCTTCGGCAGTTCAGCAAGGTAAACTTAACCAGTAAGCGTAAATTCAAATAGAACTACAAAAGAAATAAGGATGGTTTCAGCATATATCTTATTCCCAATCCTCTCTTCAAAAGCTTGCCTCCAAAAAAACTTCAGTGACAACCTCCATATATAACCTTAAAGCTTGAGGATGTATTATTTAAATAGTATATATAATCTGCTGTATTTTTCCATCTATTAAAAATATCCATCCTTTATTTTTTCCAGAAGCTTACAGATAATCCTGTTAGATGACAACTCACTTTAACATGCTTTGCTCCCAGACATGAGGCATTGCCCAGGCCACTCATCTCTCCAAATCTAAAATATTTTAAAGGTGTTATCAAAATATAATACCACAGCAGCTAGCAAAGCAACTCCTCAAATGTTAACCTTCACATCTCCCTTTCTTCTTCAAAATAAAATTAAGATTGTTTAAGTTTCCACTCACAGTTTTTGATATTTGATAGCAGAATGGAAATCTGACTTTGATTCATGCAATTTTAAGAAAAGCTTATTTTCTTAAATAACAACAATTTTGTAGCAACTCTCTTTCCTCAGATGTTCCCAGCAATGCATACCTCTGGACATCTGTCTTTTTGCTCTGTCGAAAAAACTTTTCCAACTCTTTTTTTACCAAACTTAATGTACTGTTCCAGATGCAAAACCCCTGGAAATGCCATGTAAAAATAAAAAGACTGATTTGCCCTGGGTGAACAATTCACTTGAGATGCAGAACACTACTTATTAATCTCCAAAATAATTTTCTACAAGTTCATGCATTTTCTTGGGTAACTTACAGATACCCATTTCTGCAGAGCATATGTGATGTTTTCTTGGTCTATTTTACAGCTTAAATCCCCACACCCTCCTGAACTTTGAGTTGAAAACTACAGGTTAGAAAGATAACAAAAAAAAAAGAATTAATTATGGACTTACCTACTTGCAATGGTAAAGAATATATGACTGTCAATAATTTAACAGCAGAATCTCCACATATAGAGTACTACAAACTCATGTTTATCTGAACAAGTGTCATTAGTTATATAGCATTTTTTTTTGTTGTTTTTGAGTTTCTTTCTGACAGATCACAAAGTACCTTACAACTAGCAATGAACCTGGAAAGTGTGTTTCAGCTAGAAAGATTCTGAAAGGATAATAGGTGAGGAGCATCTGCTCATGACGATAAGAGCAAAGGCTGAAAAACTCTAACTAAGAACACTGTAGCTGACCATTACTCTTTCAAAGACACCACAAGATGCTCGGCTGAACAAAGATGTCCCAGCAGCCTTAATCATCTCATCAGACTAATGCTGCAAAACACACACCTCCACGTGCACCTTGAACAGGGTGGTCAATCAGAGGAGTACCTGCATCCTCGTATTACCTCATATTCATTACCTAACAGACAAGACAGTTAGGATAGCTCACATATCACCACTTGATTTCCAGGGTTTGTAAACAAGCTCAATAATCTTTAATATACAGGCAGTTTAGTTAGACGTGGTCACTTTCAGAGATATGCAGCCAAACACAGCAACCTCTGACCAGCAAAACGCCCAACTATGTTTAGGTCTTTGGCACAAAACGAAATTGCCACTGATGTGTTTTTAGTATTTCTAGTGAGAGTTTACCTGAATAAACACAGGAAGATTGAACGCAAGGCCAGCAAGCCAGACACAGAGCAAATTCAAACCCTGGTTCCTATACAGATTGCATACCACTGATACATAAAACTTAAATTGTTTCAGAAAACACATACGTGTCTTACCTTTCTGCACATGGATGATGTCTGGAAAGTTGGCCAAATGGCCCTGATATAGCGCTAACAAATCCATCACAGGATCTAGGTCCTGCCGGGGCTGATCTGCAAAGAGGTCCCCGATGGCATCATAGGCTTCTGCAGTGAAGGCTATGGCTTGGTTGAGGCCAGCTGAAAAGGCCTGCTGGTCCAGCTCAAATGCCTGACTGAGGCACTTGAAGGAGTGCCCCACCTTCTGGTATTCCTTCTTGAAACCAGTGACTTGCTTGCGGGCAAACTCGTTGGCCGTGTGATTAAGTTGCAGGGCACTCTCATCCATTTTCTTGGTGAAGGCTTTGAAGCCATCCACCTGGCTTTCCACTTCCTGCAAGTCCAGGCTGGCCCCAGGGCCTGTGGGGACACTGATAGTCAGAAAAAAGTTGGCACCCACCATCTCATCCTTCTCAGCCTTGCGCTTGCCCTGCTTCCAGGCCTTCTCATCCGTGCTGGGACAGGTGAGGAAGTGCTGGAAGGCATCACACTGAGCCAGCACCGGGTGGCTGCACATGTGGTCCATCCACCAGGCCAGGCCTTTGCGACGTTTAGAGATGAAGTCCTCCTCAAAGCGGCCAGTGGCCTGCTTCTCTGGCAAGTGAGGCACGGAGATGACAGGAAACTTCTCAGCCAGACGCCCATAGAGCCAGTCAAAGTGCTTGTAGCGGCGGTGCACCTGCTGCCCGGTGTGGCTGGGCACCAGCTTGTAGGCGATGTAGCTCTTCATGCCCTTGAATTTGGTCTGTTTGGTGGGATCCTCGATGGAGCACTGGAAGGGGTAGGGGTTCTCTTGCCACTCGGGGCCCCTGGGGCCCAGCACCACGCACAGCTTGTCCCCGTCCTTCACGAAGCCCGACGCCTCGCCCAGCACGAAGGCCTCTCCGCCGGACTTGACGAAGGTGGAGAAACGATTGAGATTGCGGCTCACCGTGGCCGAGCTCTTGGCGGCGCCGCCGCCGCCGGGCGGGTGCGGGTGTCCAGGTGGGTGCCCCGCGCCGCGGGGGCCCAGGGACGGCTCGGAGCGGGTGGACAGGCGGTATCGGCCCGAGGCGCCGCCGCCCGCCGTCTCGTAATCGGGGTAGGAGCTGCCCAGGGCGCCCGGCTCGTCGGCCACCGTGGAGCTGTCGTCCCAGTCATCGTCCCAGTCGTCATCGCTGCCCTGGCTGGGCTGGTAGGAGCCGCCGTAGGGCGGGAAGGGATACCCGGCGGGGGGCGGCGGGAAGGGCTCGGGCGGGGGCTGCTGCGCCGCCGGCTTGAAGGCGGCGGGGGGCGGCAGCGGCTCGAATCCGCCGATGGGGACGTTTGCGTAGCGGGCGGGCGGCGGCGGCTCGGCGGCGGGGGCGCGGATCACCTGCACGTAAGAAGCCGGGAAGAGCCCGCGGTCCCCGCGGCTGTTGACGCCCTCCAGCCACCCCTCGATATCCTGCTCGCTGCACAGGCTCAGCACCTCGTGCTCCCGGAGCGAAATCTCACCCGGGTTCTCCGACCTGAAGTCGTACAGCGCCCGCGCCCGCAGCGCCATCGCCGCCCCCTCACCGCGACTCGCTGGCGGGGCTGCAGCACCAGAATGCCGCCGCCCTCGGGCTCCTCTTCCCGTCGGCGGCCTGCCCGGTGCCGCTCCCGGTGCCGCTCCCGGAGCCGGCGGCGGGCGCGGGGCCGGGCCGGGCCGTCCCACGTCGCCAGTTGCGCTAATCCAGAGCCGAGCGGCAGGGCGGAGCAGCCGAGCGCAGAGCGGCCGCCCCCATCGATAACCCCCCCGCCCTTCCCCCTGCGCCCCCTGCCGGGGGGCCTCGCCGGGCGCGTCCCGCGGTCCTCACGCCTGCGGGCCCGGTGTCCCTGCGGGTGTCTCCCGGCCCCGCCGGGCCTCCCCCGGGACCCCGCCGGGTCTCCGCCGCTCGATCGACGCCGGCGCCTCCCGACCCCTCGAAGGCGCGTCAGGGCTTCCCCGCGTCCGGCCGGGAAGCTTCCCGAGCCCTCGGGTCTCCTCCCCGCGCCCCGGTGCGGCCGCTGCGCCACGCGGGTGCTGGTGGCGCTCCCCCGGCTGCCTGCTGCGTCCAGAGAAAAAGAATGGCAGGGTGCGTTCTGCTCGTGGGTAACGCGTGTTTTAGCCTTCGCAAAAAATGTAGTCGTGCCGCTGATGTTGATTTTCTGTGGAACAGCCTCAGTCCGGTCGAGGTGCTCTTTTCCCCGCGTGGTTATTTCCCTACCTGTTGCTCCTGGTCAGTGTTGTCCAGTCATATGGATCCCATCCCGTTAATCATCTTTGTCCTCTCATTGGATCCCTAGGTACAAGTTTCTCTCAAAATTTCTGGCAGTTCACGAGTAATAAGAAGTTTTTCAGAGTAGATGTTCAAGTTTCTGGTCCCCAGTTCTTCATATTTTCCGATTAGCATCCAAATATCTTGTTTATTTCTCTGCCATAGTTTAGGGATGTTATTTCATAGATCTTTGTGTCAAATAATTTGTCTTCACCTGGGAGCAAATCCCTGGAATGCTACAAGATCCACTGTTTCGTATCATTGCTGGTTTTAGTGTTTGATACCTGGGACTTACTTTTTACACTTTTTCTTTCAACTTTCATTTTCTCCAGAATTAGTGTACATATTATCACGGTACTTTCCTGTACTTTCCTGTTACTCTTGCTCAGTTTGTCTACTCATTTTTATTTATTTATTTTTTGTACGTCAGCTCATCCCAGTCCAGCATGTTAGTCCCAAACTCCTTTAATGAATGCTCAGAACAAGAAGTCTGTTTTAATTAGTAAATACAGTGCCCAAAGAAACACATAATTCAACCTCAGCTCCTCAGTGGCGAACTTTGTGGAACACATTTGTGTTGCAGCAAGTTTACAGAGAGCAGTTCTGGGTATCTACAGCAGTGCTAAGGTGAGATGCATCAGTTGTCTTCCTGAGAGAGAGCTGGCAGCTGGTAGAAACGTCCTGACCTGGCCTGGTCATGATCACTCACCCCCAGCCAGCAGGCCCTGAGTGGATCCTCGAGCCCTGCATCAGCACCTGTTAGTGTTTTTTGAACCACCAAAGCTCTTTTTCAGTCAGTCAGCATTCTATCCCTGCAGCTGGTGCACTGTCAGTGTCTGCCTTTCACAAAGGTCTGACTCTCTTCTGCAAAGCACAGAGATTGCTGTGGCAGTTGGCCCACAGCCCGCCGTGCTGCTCTCCACCCACGTGGCCAACTCAGAGTAAGGACTAAAACCCCACTAGGAGGTAGATGTGGATCAGTTTGACCTTGGGTTTAGATTTAATCTCAGGTTCTGACTTCTGCAGATCAAGATTAGGGATTGGGATTTTGTATTCCTTCCAAAGTTACTGCTAACATTGATCTGGGAAATCTTGTGCATTCATGTGAATCCTCACATGTTAAACTACAGAAGAATAACCCTTGATCTGCCTTCTCTATGCTACTTATTACACTATATGTATTTGACTGCACCTCCCATGTCACATGGAGTGAACGGTACTAGACATGATGCTGACCAGCTTGATTTGTTTTAAATAGATATTTAAGATTTGCTCTCATTGGACAACCTGGAGTGACACACAGGTGCAGAGCTGGTTCAGGAAGGGGATTTTCCTGCTCCAAGTGGTCATGCTGACAGTGCCTGTCAAGCTGTGGCTGTCATAGCCAGGGCAGGACAAAGGGACAACTTTGGGCTGGGCATCTGCATTGCTTCCTTGGGTCTGGTGGAGGTAGCAGCTGTCCTACTTCCTCTGCTTTGGCCTGGTTTTCTCTAGTAAGTGTTGGCTTGATGTTTGCCTCTCAAATGAACAGAAGCAAAGGTGTCGAGTCCAACAGGGACAAAAACTGCTACCAGGAGAATTTGAAGGTGTAAGATCTATGAAGCTAATGAAAATAGTATTTCTTCATTATATAGGTGCAATTTTAAAAATAGTTATTCTCTAAGATCTTCCAGTTTTATCTGAAGACTTTAACAAAAATTAAGTTATGTGACATTGAATCATGGTTTTTTCCGGCACTAATGCTTTCAATAAGGCAAAAATATGAAAGGAAAATGTGTGCTATGTTATTTTCCTAGTGATCAAAACTGCAAAGATAATTTGGAACAATAAAAAGGTTGCAAATGACGTTTTCCATCCTTTCCCACCAGTGAGCCAACTCTGATTACCACAGTGCTGAGGCACTCTGTTTTGGATATTATAAATAACATTTTAAAACCATCAATTGTTATTTCTGAGAAAGCTAACCTGCAAAATTAGAAGCCATTCTAACAAATATTTTTTAAATGTTTGAAAAAACCAGCTTCCAAACTCCTCAATAACCATCTACAGTGCCAAGCAGAAGAACTGGATTTATTGAGCTTTGTTTCTTGCTGTTTGGACTAGGAGAGACAGGAGTTTCAAAGTAAGAATGGCACACAGTGACTTGGAGCATTTTAGCTGCACAAAGCATGTATCTCAATGCTTTGCTTGGTCAGGAATTTCAACCATCTTCATTGGGAATTGAATTTGCAGAGGCAAAGTGAATGTTATTATAAAGACTAATAACCTATAATTCAGTGAAAATGTCTATTATTTACTGTGTTCCTAGGGACCTGTAATTTGAGAGAGTAAAGCTGAAAGCTGGACTAAAACCAAATGGCTACCAAAAACTATATATGGGATATCTCACTGTGTGTAAGTCAGTTGTCTCAAGACACCATTAATGTGCTAAAAGAGATACTTGAAAGCAGCATGATTGTTTTGCTGATTGGGTGCAGAAAGTTAGAGTAAAAAAATTTGGAAACATTTAAACATGTTTTAGAAAATGTATGGATTTAATTTATCTTGAATTAAGAAAAAGTGAATGAATAGAAGCTCTGAATTAAAATGTAATGGAAGCTTATATTGCCCTGTGTAGCTTTTCATTGAAGGTGTCAAATCTTTCCATCTTTATTTTGTTACTCTTCCTCTGTGCTATACTTTGCTGTTTTACTAAGAAAAGCAAAGTGAATTTTCATAAGAAAAGATGAAAGCACTAAGCCTTTTCTTTATGATGATACTCCTTGTAGACACTGGAAAAACCATGTGTCTGGACGTTGAAAGATGCTCTAATAGGAAATACACAGAATAGTGCTTTGTGCAAGGAAATGGCTACAAATAGGTCAGTTTTCATCAGTAGAATTTCTAGGAGCAAATTTGGTAAAATGACACAGTATGTGATTTTTTGGGGGTTTTGCTCTTTGTGGTATATTTTTAGCTCGTGGTACTAGAGCAGAATGTAATTTTTAAAAATTATGCAGATTTTTAAAATCGTACAGATTTCACTTCATAGGGGGAATAAACTGTTTTTCTTCCATTTTTGTGTCATCTTTGAGAGGGAAGTCACAGTTCGGGTGCCTGGCAGGGCTGCCACTAGAGGGCACAAAATGATTTTAAACACAAAATTGTTTAAACATTTCACTTACTAAAAGTAAAAAACTAAAGTCAAGTAAAGACTTTGAACTACCAAATCAGTTAAGAAAATGCAATAAATTTGACAAAAATGTTATTCTAGTGGTATTTTTTTCAGTTTCTGGAGGCTGGAATAAGATTTTGTTTGAAATGTTTTATAAATCTTATATGAAAGCATGAAACGGAGCGAAATGAAGACACTTTATAGTGTTCTATAAACTGAAATTTAGAAAAAGATGCTTTGAGATATATAAGAAAACAAAATATTTTTCAATCTCAAGCATGAATTAAACAAAAATTGCATTGCTTTTTTCAGAATAGGTTGTGTAAAATTAGAGATAATTGATCAGAAACACTGATGTTTTTGCTTTGCCTTTGCTATATGTATTAGCTATCTGAGCCCCAGTCTGTGTAATAGGTGGCTGTTATTCTCCACTCTCCATTTAATATTCCTTGGAATGTGTGTCTGTCTCCATTTCCTGTCTGAAGGGATAATGTTTCAAACCATCTAAGGATACTGTCAGGATCACTCCGTTCAGTGTGCAGTTTTTCCGTGCTGTGGCAGGGGCGAGAGGTGCTAGGCAGACATTCTGGCAGTGCTGAGTCTTTCATGGTTATGGGCAAATGGGCCCATGTCAACTGCCAGTCCCTGGGCATGCACACAGGCAGAATTTACTTGCTGAATAAGGCTGAGACACCAAACTGGATGAATGAGCCTGCTGTACTTTGTCCTGAGCTGCATAAGTCCTTGAGGACTCAATCTTACATTTATCAATCCGATACTTTTAGTGATAACAAATAGTTGATAAAAAGCAAGGACCGAGAGCTAAGTGGGTAGCTGATGTTGAGGCCAGCATTATATCCATGTACCATATAAATGTGGCATGAAAGTAAAGTTATCCCAGCAATAAACCCATTGTATAGAATGGGTAAGTCACAGTATAGTGAGAATGAAGAATTGAGCATTCATTAATTTCCCAAATGCATATGTCCCTGTCTTCACTCATGGCAAAGAAATTGCAGAGTGGACCTCCTTAGCAGGCTCTATGCTTGTGTTAACGCTGAGGTTTATAGTGGGAAAATAAATGCTGATGGAATCTAAAAATCCTCAGAA